TCTCTGAACAGGCACATCACTTTTGCTGTAATATGCCAACACAAAGAATAAATTAAGGATGCAGTTTCCGTGACCGGTTTTTGGGTTTTCTTATTTGACTGTTTCGTCAGACTCCTAGCTGTAATGTTATCTGAAACGTTTTTTATTTTAATGTATAGAAACACTACTATCTTTGAACAAAATTAACTCCCCCAAATATTAGTATAAGAATCGTATGTATTATTTTGCCACACAAAGTACATTGTACATATATTTAACAGCAGCCACTGGCAATAAATCAAATAAGTTGCATAACAAGCTCTACTCTCCTCTCCACCATATGTAGCTCACACTATTTCCTCACGATAGGCTTACTTTCCTATTGTGAATTTACTTTAAACTCTACAGGAATATCTACAGAAGTTGTGTACCGAACATTAAGAGCATTTAAAACCTTTTTCATTCTTATCTCACTACTGCAAACACAGAGTGAGAAGCAAAAGCTAGCAATCTTTCCTTAAAAATCCTTAATGGCAGTGGGAAAAACAGAAATACCACCCAAACAAAACAATTAGAAAAAAAACAAAACCCACAACAAAAAACCAAGCCTTACCTTTGTATCGATTATACAATTGTTCTAATTTCTTCCTGTCTACTGAATTTTTCATGGATTCTTTGTAGTACAAGTCTGGGTTCTGGAAGTAGTTGTCTGTTGCCACTTCTAGCTTCCATTCATTCTGCATTAAGCAGTATATAGCAGTCCTTTCACCAGCCTGGGTAAATGCCATAAACTGGCGGACCTTGTCCTTCTGAGACGATTTAAGCTTATGCTTTGGGATGCAAAAGAAGCGGGAAAGCCAATGAAGCTAATCCAGAAGTTTGTTTCAGCATTCTACTACTAACGCCTATCTTTAAAAGGTTTTAGTTTTCTTGCTGATGACAACTTTCACTTCAGAATTACAGGAAGACAAAGCCTTGTTCTTCTGCAGTTAAAAAGACAGCATTTTCTTCTGAAAATTGAAATGACAGCATCTATATATACATTTTTAGCAGCACATATTCTGGCAGTAATAAATTTGTATTTCTGCTTTATTGCTCACACATGCACAAGTTTTTCTGTTCTGTAACAGCAGTAAACACAAGTTTCATCACATAACAATACAGTTATCTTCCGAAAATATGCCTAGTGGTCATACAAACAAGAAATTACAAAGGCGCAACTTAGAGATTCTCAGATTCTGTGTAAGTCCTTCATACACGCAGAAAAATTGCTCAACAGTTTTCCTAATATTTTCCTAGCAACAATGAACAACGCAAAGTAAAGGCAGAAGCATTTCTCACATTTTTATGTTAGAAACCATTGCCAAGAGAAGACATAAGACAAAAAGAAAATAGATAAAGCAGACATGTCAGAGGTTTGCCGAATGTTACAATGAGACTATAAAGTTGCTGTAAATGTGATCTAAAACTTTAATTAACTCTGAAAAAGATGCTCATACTATTAATACGTCAAACAACAAAACTGCCTATTATAGTGGTATATAGGAACCAGTAAGATGTTTCTCTTGATGGCAGCTGTCTGCAGCAACCATATCTACACAACACCCCTAAACTTCTGGAAAACCCGAGAGGTGGGAACAGGGCTTTTATAGGGAGCAAATTTGCTATTAACATGGCTTAACATCATTCTTTACATGAAGTTGGAAGAAGGAGACAGCTTAAATCAAACTCTGTTTTTTATTACATTCTGACACTTTCCGATTTTGTTAAACCATACTTAATACATGTTCTGGGCCAACAACTAAGCTGAGAAATTTGTCTAAGTTCCTTACTACTGCTTAAATCATCAGGTATAATAGAAAATTTACTCGTCTCTTAAATATCGGGGGACGGGACACGACACGACACACGACTGAATCCTGATTCAGTGAGCAGTAAGCAGTAAACATAGGACCATCTTTCAGTTTACTTGTTATCTCTTGTACACATATGGATGGTGACATCTTGACTACAGATGGTCCCGAGACAAAAAACACATCAGGTAAAAAAGATAAGGATTTTGGCCTTTCCTACAAGATTTTTCAATTTTATATAAGCAGAAACATGTAAAGTTTCTTTTTATACAAGAAACATGTAAAGTGGGAAAAGAGCTGCAAAAATAACTATAATGTATTTTGTTAAGGAAATGCTCAATAATCCTTTGACTGCAAGCTCTGTGTAACCCCCCCCCCTCGCACCCCCAATTCCCCCCCCGCCCCCAATTTTCATTAAGGTCTAACTGTGAGAGTCTCTCTGCACCAAGATCTTCCTCAGTTACCTAAACGTCTTTTCAGCAACCAACTTAGCGATGATCACTTCAAAACAGAGGTCTCTGACAACAACTCCAAAGTAAAACCCATGTCCTCTTGTAAGTCTACTTACGCCAGGCATTTAGGGATATTTTCTAGGTTCAGAATGAAACACCGAGTTATTTGAAGCAATCAGAGATAAGAAACACATTCGACTACCCAATCGACTACTCTGCCATGCAGCATAGCTTCTACCGTTCATTGGCGTTCAACGCCCTGCGTAGCAGACAGTGGTACCTATACTCTCTCTACAGGGCAGGGGGGGAAGGTCTGGAAGTCGCGTTTCTAGCATGACTTCTCGCTAATGGAACCCAAACAAGGAGGTGTACTTCGCATCAAGCCACGATTAGGTCACGTTTCAGAAGCCCTCTCAAAACGGTGATTACATCCCCGATCGCAAATACCAAGGAAGCGCTGAAGTTGAAAACGCGCAGGCTGCGGCGGAGGGCAGCATGCGAACCCTTCCCCGGACAGCTCCCACCGCTCCCTGCGCCACCCTGCCGCTCGTCCCGGGGCGGTCCCGGGTCAGCGGAGCCGGCCTCGCGCCCTTCCCCACTCCCCGTCCCGGGAAGGGAATCTGTACCGCACCTTGCCCACCGCCTCCTTTCCCCTGCGCGACCTTCCCTCACTCCCCGTCCCGGGAAGGGAATCTGTACCGCACCTTGCGCACCGCCTCC